CGCTCGCTTCCGCCCCCCCCCCAGCCCCGACATGTGCCGGTGGTACCCGATGGGCTGGCAGCATCCCAGGCTCGGGGATGTGACAGGGTGGTGGCCGTCCCCATGATACCAGGCGTCCCGCAGACCCCGCGGGGCTCCTGCCCGGGGAGGTGAGGCTTCGGAGCAGGAGGACTGGGGAGAATCAGGCCGTAGGGTTGGGAAAAAGAGGGGATTTTTAAGGTCAGGTGAGAGGCCAGGAGAGGATGGAGGCGACGGAGTTCGTGGAGCAGCAGTGTACAGGGGGCAGGTCTCATTAGGAGAAGCCACAGGTTGGGTTGCTGCGAGGGACTGAGTGTGGTTAGGAGGTGGCACACAGCCCTGCGGCCACGTGCATGGCATGGAGCATCAGGAGCATGGAGGTAACAGTAAAGACCAAAAGCAGCGGTGGGATGACCGCAGGAAGCTGGTGTGATGGAGCTGTGGGCTGACTGTGCGGCTGTGCAATGCTGCAGGAGCAGAAACCATTCCTGGGCACAGGACCAGACCCTTCGGGGCCAGGGGGAACACGCCAAGGACAGGACGTGTAGTGGCTGCGGGTGCTGGAGCCGCCTTCCAGGACCAGACCCTTCGGGGCCAGGGGGAACACGCCAAGGACAGGACGTGTAGTGGCTGTGGGTGCTGGAGCCGCCTTCATGGCTCCCAACTGGAGAAGCAGCGCCTCTCCCGGGGGAAGGAGCCCCATCCCTCTCCTGGCCCCTCTCCATAAGCACTTTGGTTTGGGAAAAACACCCACCAAAACCTGAAAGCCCATCCCTGAGCACGCTGTGAGACATGTCTGATGGACCAGGGAAAGCGGCTGTTATCAGATTGGGGCGGTAATTTGGAGGAGGCTTTGCTTTCAACTCAGCCCTAATGTCTTTTAAGTGGTGTTCACAAAGTGCAGAGCTGCTCTCGTTTCCTCTCTTGTGGGCATCGTGGGCTGGAGCTGCTGTTTCCAGGAGAGCCGGGAGCCGCTTGGCAGTGCTGGACAAGGCGATGGTGGTGCCCTGAGCTCATCCCAGCCCGCGCTTAATGCCACGTCCGGAGCTTACGCTCTTGTTTTGGGATGCTCATTATGTATTGCTTAAGCAGTATTAGGCGATATCATCAAGATTTTTTTATTATCTTGGTAAAGGTGTTTTTTGACGCCTATTGAAACTTGCCACTGGGTTTGGTGCCGTTACAATGCTACCAGCCCAGCGTTGCCTTTTTTCCCCCAATTCTTTCCGCCCTGTGTTGGATGGGCTGGGCAGTGCAGGAATCTCTTCCGTTCCCCCTGGGGGCAATGAAAAGTTTTGCTTGGGCACAGGGACCCAGAGTAGATGGGGGCTGGGTGCCTTTTTCAGTTAGCTCATTATTTTGGGTGTCCTCTGACTTCTAGAGAAGCTGCTGAGAGATTTTTTTCCATTAAAAGTCAGGCGGGGATGCATATGGTCTTTGTATACTACAGTGACTAATATATTTCTGGCAAGGTCTGCGCTCGCCTGTAGGAAGGGAAACTGTGATCGATGCCCCCGTTGCTGCAGATGACACCGCTTTTGGCACTGGTGCTTCCACCGCTGACAGTGACCAGGGAAAGCAACATAGCCACTGGACTCTGCCCAGCGAGAGCCGATCACTGCCCCATGTGCTCGCCCCGGTTAACTTTTAACCACAGACTTTCTGCGAGTGAAATCATCCTTGGTTTAGGTGGTTTGTGTTCAATTCTGTTGTGAACAGTTTTTTTTTTGCAGTGCATGAGCTGATCCCCATGGAAGGATGGATGGAGGTGGCACTGCCAGAGTGTCACTAAGCTTTACTGCCTTGGGAGCGTCTGACCCTGACACCACATGTGGCCTTGCCGGAGGGAAGCGTGTCGGGGGCAGGGAAAGGCAAGCGTGTAGCTGCCAGTGGGAGCTGGGGGCACCGTCCCATTGCGCACACTGCGCCTGGGTAGAGAAACAGCTCCAGGGAGGGGAGGACGGGCCAATGCATCTGTACGCTCAGATTTAAATCTGTGCAGCCAGTGCTGACTGCGAGGTGTCATCCTCTGCGCCCCTAGAATGGGTCAGCGTGTTCCCATCTGGAGGCGGCCGCATCCTGGCAGGGACCAGGCAGGGACCACACGCTCACAGCAGAGCTGGGGGCGGCTGGAGGGGGCTGTAAAAATCACTTCATCCTCTCGGGGGCCGATTTCACTCCCATTTGTTTCCGCTAAAGCCACGTGGACGCTGAGCGAGAGGGAGAGCCGCTGCCAGGGTTTCACAGACCTCTTTTCATTTTAATATCCCTCTACTTGCTGAATTAGATGTGAGACTGATTGCTTCGATAATCCTGCCGCAGCCGCTATGGGTTATATATGGATTGCAGCCAAAAGCCGTGCCGATAAATCATTCCTATACACCAGGCTGTTACATTTCCTGAGGATTTTGTGGGCATGTGCTGCTCGCTTTTACATAAGGATCTGCTGGAGTTCATACCAGAATGTGCCACTTTTCCCCAGGCAAGGACCTGGGTGGGTTGGTGAAGCCAGAGTCCCTGGGCTATATTTCCCCTTTTGGGGTTGATTCCCCCAGTTCCAGCTATTTTGGTTTTCCCTTTGGCTGGGAATATGGCTGTTCTCCTCCTCCTCAGCCTCCTCATGTGCTTATTAAGGAGAACCGGCTGTGTTGTTAGAGGTTATCCCATGTCCCTCAGGGCTGCATTCAACAGTGGGATCCCACTTTTGGGTTTCTTTCAGGGAAAATAGCATGTCAGGGGGCAATTTCTGCAAAACCTCATGCTCAGCCCCTTTGCACACATGCAAAGGGAAGAACCCTCTGATTTTCCACCCTAGTTGATGTTACGATGGTGCTTGGATGACTTTTAGCCTGTTTACAGAGCCTGGGGAAGCCTGCTCCAATTAATCAGCTTTGATATGTTTATCCTGGTCAAGCCAATTAACTCCCGCCGTCCAGGGCATACTCTTCTCTCAAGTGTGGTGGAGACTTCATTGCTCAATTTTGCTCTAGCCTGGCAAAATTTAGCACGAACCCTTGGAAATTCAGATGTAGGTGATGCTTTCAGGGCAGGATGGGATGCCCGGCTGTGCCGTGCCACTGCCGGAGACCAGTGCCATGGCCGGTGATGTTCCTGGGGTGGCTTCATCCCAGGGACACGCCAATAAGCTGCCTTTTTTGGTGCGGCTGTGGCGCACGGTGAGGGTACAGGGCACGGCATTCTGGATCGGCTCCGGCTTCGGGGGACGGCTATTTATATGTGCCTGCTGGCGGGGTGCCCAAAGCAAGCCAGGCAAATGGCAACCGGCCTCGAGACGCATCCCTGTGGGTTCAGGATGATTCCGGGGGCGTGGGGGGGTGCCTGTTTATTTGAATCCATTTTGGGAGTGCATTAAAACACTCTGCCGTGGCTGCCAGCAGCACCGGGGCAGGGGATTTTGCAGCCCGAGACGTGGAGCCCCGGCTTGGCTCGGTTGGCAGCTCCCGACCCTCTTGCCCAGCAAAGTCCCAGCCGGGAGTGGATTCAGCCCCACGAAACGCGGCGTTTCTGAAATAGTTTGTCCTTCTTGCTGTTCGTCAGCTTATTTATAGCATTCACATCCCCTGCGTTTCTCTGCGCCTCGAAGCAGCAAGCGGCGCTGGGTCAGCTTTAGCTCCGGGCCGATCCCGCTTGAGCAAAAAAACTCCGGTTTATAGACTTGTGTTGAAAACAGCAATTAGGCCATTGTGAAGCCTCGAGGAAGGGGGAGACGATTTGATTTCTGCACTTGACCCGTAATTTCTGCTGGGCTGATTCAGAGCGGTTGTGCTGCGGGTGCAGTACGGAAACTTCAATGGAGATGAGTGGAGCTAATTTTAACCGGCCGCCTCGCCGAGGTGTGGGAACCAGGCAGAAAAACGCCTCAAACCTTGTTCCTGCTTCTGGGCTGTTAGTTTCAAGATTTTTTTTTTTTGCTTGCTTCTGCAGCAGCTCATTAACCTAGAAATTAAAAACAGCACGGCATCATGGCAGGGAAGAGCGATGGTTTACAACCAACCATCGAACTGCCCCAACTGCTACGGGGCACCCAGCTTGTGTGAATTACACTGTTTTCTCCCCTTTTAAAATTATTATTTCAGTATATATATATGTTTTAAATTCTTTGTTGCTAACAGAATTGTTTTCTTATTTGTCCCAAGGTTCAGGAACCTGATTTTTGCACGGAAGTCCAGAAGGAACCCGGGGTGAGGAGGAGAACTTGCTGCCAATGATGGGCTGCAGGAGGAGGCAGTGAGCTGGGGGGGCTGATCCTGCACCCCATGCTTGGTAAGTGGGTCTCAGTGCCCCTGAACTGCTTCGTTCGGGGCGTGTTTGGCAGAGATGTGCCCTCTCTGACTGCGGGACTGAGCAGTAAAGCGAGGAACCAAGTGGTATTTATGCCAGCATAGTGTAGCACCTGATCCTGCCCCTGTAAAATACCCCTTTTGGGGTATTTCTGTAGCGGAGATGATGGGGTGGTTATTCCCTGGGGGTGTTTAAATAAAGGGGATGGAAAGAGCAGCCCTGGGACCCCTTCTTGGGGTCTGCCCCATGACAGGGTGGGTGCACAACCCCGGAGCCATCCTGCGCCGCTGCCCTTGGCGTTACCATCCCCTCTGGGGTGTATAAATTAATCTGTAGAGTAACGACGGGCGGTAGGAAATCCCGCTTTCCAGGGGAGCCCAGCTGAGCCGCCCTGTGTTTGCAGGTGCGCCTCCCCATCGCAGCGTGGTCGGGATGAGGCCGTCGGCCGCACCATGCCATCATGCATCCCTGGCAGCTCGCCCACCCCATGGCCCCTCTGCCGTGACGGAGGCTGCGGCCACCAAGCGCCCGGGCCACCACGGGACCCCCCGCCGCTGAGCCCCCGCCGCCCCGGCATGGCCTCGCTCATCGTGGTGACCGAGTACGACGCCACGGGGAGCGCGAGCGAGGAGGAGGAGATGAATGTGCCCCATGGTGAGGGTTTTGGGGACGGCCGGGAGCCAAGGGCGAAGCTGCACCTCTCCGGCCGAAAGCTCTCCCTGCAGGAGCGGTCGCAGCCTGCCCGCTCGCCTGGGAACGGTGATGGCACCAATGAACGCTTCATCTACCCGTCCCTCCCTTACTCTCCGGTGACGTCCCCGCACTCCTCCCCGCGGCTGCCGCGGCGGCCGACGGTGGAGTCAAACCGCGTGTCCATCACCGGACTGCAGGTGAGGGGGAATCATTGCTACTCCCGCAGTTCTCCTGCCCCCGTCCACCTGGTTTTCCCCCACTGTGGCATTGCTTCTCGCTTGTTTTTTGGGGATGAAACCCTGCAGCATGGTCACAGATGTGCAGCGGGAGGTGATGGGACGTCCTTGGTCCATCCTGAGCCATGGGGACAGCCCCCGGGGAGGTGGGACCCAGCTGCTCGCCACCTTTTGTGCCTTTTGTAGATGCCATCAGCTCTCACGGCTGTGTTTTGGGGGAGCCGGTGGCATACCGCAGTTTTCTTTTTCTCCCCCTTAAACATAATAAAAAAAGAAAGACCCACTGAGATCTAAAGAGGAAACGGCCCTGCCTGCCCCCAGCCTGCCAGCGCTGCCAGAAAACAGGCATTGAGCGGCTGCTTTGCCCATAAGAAATACAAATATTCAGCACTGGGTCACCGGAATTAAACCCCCCGGGGCCCTGCCGGCTGCCGATCCCCACCGCCGCCCACCCGTTGTGTGCTCTCGTTCCGTGTGAGCGGACAATATTGCCTGCCCAGCCGTTAACATTTGCAATTAGCCCTCTATAAACACGCCGACGCGTGGCTGGGCGGCTGGTGTTTATGGCTCGTGAACCAAAGGTGCGCAGCCCCGAGCGGTGCCCGGGCAGAGCAAAAAAAGGGCGCGAGTTTGCGGAGAGAGTTTTGCCGGAGATTTAAAAGGAGGAGAGCGGTTTCATGGCTCACGTCGGACCCCTCATCTCTGCCCACAGGACTGTGTGCAGCTCAACCAGTACAAGCTGAAGGATGAGATCGGGAAGGTGAGTATTGGCCGGGTTTGGGGTGGGACAGGGGTATTCGGGGCGGGAGGGTGCTGGGATCGCTTTTGCTGTCGAGCCGGTGAGATGGCAATTTCAGTCGCTCACCACGGCAGCTCAGTTGGCTCCTCGCTGCGACACTGGTCTCTTCTAGGTGGTGCCAACTGAATAGTATATATTTTTAAAATTAGTATTAACTTTCCCCGTTCCCCCTCCCTCCCACAAAATGGGGTATTTGAAGCTTTTCTTTGCCGGGGGTGTGATGCCAGACCATACACCCTGCTACTCCCAGCATCCCCCACCAGCTCCGTGATCCTGGTGGGGCTGGCTTTGCGGAGGAGCCTGGTATGGTGCTGTGGGATTTTTTTTGGACTGTCCCTAACTGATCCCCCATGATTGTGCCCCTCTCTAGGGCTCCTATGGGGTGGTGAAGCTGGCCTACAACGAGGATGATAACACCTACTATGTGAGTAGCACGCAGCCCCAGAGCCCGCAGCGGGGTGGGTGGGATGGGGATGGATCCCCTCTACTGACTCCATGCCTGGCTCTGTGGTGGCCTCATCCCACCGGCCCGGTTTTATCCTTGGTTTACCTCAAATACTACATTTTTTTTCCCCCTGTTGCAGGCAATGAAGGTTCTCTCCAAAAAGAAGCTGATGAGACAGGCGGGCTTCCCCCGTAAGTGGCGTAAAAGCTTTAGGGTGAGGGATAACCTCCGATATCAATACAGGCTGGGGAATGGAGGGATGGAGAGCAGCCCTGCCGAGAAGAGGAGAGACATAGACATGTTGGAGCGGGTCCAGACGAGGTCACAAAAATGATCTAAGGGCTGGAGCACCTCTGATGTGAGGACAGGCTGAGAGTTGGGGTTGTTCAGCCCGGAGAAGAGAAGGGAAACCTTATAGCCCCTTCCAGTACCTAAAAGGGACTTATAAGAAAGATGGGGACAAACTTTTTAGCAGGGCCTGTTGCAATAGGACAGGGGGTAATGACTTTGAACTAAAAGAGGGAAGATTTAGATGAAATATAAGGAAGAAATTTTTTACAGTGAGGTTAATGAAACACTGGCCCAGGTTGCCCTGAGAGGTGGGAGATGCCTCATCCCTGGAAAAATTCAAGGTGAGGTTGGATGGGGCTCTGAGCAACCTGATCTAGTTGAAGATGTCCCTGCTCGTGGCAGGGGGGGTGGACTAGATAGCCTTTAAAGGTCCCTTCCAACCCAGCTATTCTATGATCCTACCCTCTGGGGACCCTGGGGGCTTGTTTCTGACCGGACACCCTGTCTTTGCCTTTCCCACAGGCCGCCCGCCGCCCCGTGGGGCCAAGGCTGCCTCCGAGGGCTGCCTGCAGCCCAAAGGGCCCATCGAACAGGTCTACCAGGAAATTGCCATTCTGAAGAAGCTGGACCACCCCAATGTGGTGAAGCTGGTGGAGGTGAGCACCTGCTGGCCGTGTGCCATGGCTGCCCCTTCCCAAAACCCACCCTGAGTGTGAAGGAGCCTGGATGCTGTGGGGGTGGGCTACACGTTGGCTTGGGCAGAGGGAAGCAACCGCAGAGGGGCTGGGATGACTGTGGCAGGTCCTGCCTACAGGAGACTCATGTTTTCCCTGATTTAAAAGGTTTTTTATTCCCCCCCCCCAAAAGAGGGTTTTTTTCTTCCCTGCCTGGAAAGGGAAACACAGAAAAATGTTGCTTCCTTGGAGGAAACAAGAACTCAGATGGGTTTTGGGGAGGAACTGCTGGTTCTGCTGGTTCTGCGGCACGGCCGTCCTGCCCTCCACCCACTGACTGTATTAAATGGTCCAAAAATCAAGAATTAAGGATATGCGGGCTGGAGTTTATTTGGCTCATGAGTCAGATGATGCTTCCTGTGTGTTTTAAATATTTACTTCCTTGAAGTACAGCTATATCTCTGTACTCTTTTTTTTTTTCCCCACCCCTTGTGGGTAGAAGCTCGGAGATGAGCAGACCGTGCTGATGGTGCAGATGGTACAGAACTGGGATGGGCGCTAAGTAAAAAAATCACAGTGTTTAATTTGCAAGGTTTTTTGGTGCTGTTTAATTTCCTTTCCGCTTCTTTTGGCAGGTCCTGGATGACCCCAGCGAGGACCACCTGTACATGGGTAACTGCCCACTGCCCTGCGGTGCTCGTGGGGTGTCAGCGGGATGGGGGTTTGCAAAGGGTTACCCCACGTTTTGAGGTGGCTACATGCAAGGTTGGGTCCCTCCTCCAGAGCGGGTATGGCCTGGACCTGCTGGAGGAGCAAATAATCTCTAATGGTCAGTGCAAATGGGATCCAGTCTGGGTTCAGAAAGGAGACAGGAGTGTTTTATAGGTTTTAATTTGACATCAGGGCATGCTTTGTCCTGAGAGGTACCAGCATATATGTTCTCAGCTTTGAAGCCGGGCTGCTAGAAAGTAGCTTTATTTCTTTGGCTTCAAGAACAAGGCACGCGTTAATTACCCACCGTACAAATGAGCTCCTTCCCAACCTGTCTTGCAGACTGCAGTGGTTTGCTTGATGTAAATACATGTGCTTTTGGAGGAGGCATTTCTTTTCCATCATTTATGTTCAGCCTGTACTAGCAGAGGAGTGTGTGACGCCTTCATGGCCAAGTGCAGAGCTTTGCCCGGAGCATGGACTTGACCTTGGTTTTGCAGGCAAACTGCGGGTTTCAGGGTTCCGTGTGGAGGGTGTTTCATGATGCTGAAGCTGCAGCATTAAGAAGGTAGTTGGCAGCATCCCCTTAATTAAAGACAGAAACATGCAAAATGGCGTGTGCCTTGCATAAGATAGCATCTCTTTTTTTTTTTTTTTATATTGTTTTCATAATTTTGTCATCAAAATAATTGCTTTTGTGCTGGGACTGTGCTCGCAGGAGCTCTAACCTGTAAGTGATCAGTAATCACCTTCTCTTTTGTGTTTCAGTGTTTGAACTGGTGAAGCAAGGGTGAGTATTGAATTCCAGATTTAAACCTACTAAAGCATGAACGTGGGACGGGTTTGCGGGTCGCATAGCTCAGCCACTGCAGGCGGGCTCCAGATGCAGAGGCGATGGGGAGGTTCATGATGGGTGTCCTATGGATTTGGGTAGCATCTGCCCAACCCAGTTACAGTTCTGTACACCCCCATGTGCACCTATGTTTGGGACCATGTGCTGTTGCTGACTGGCAGCAAAGCCTCCAAGACATGTTTTGACACATCCGGATGGGGAACAACCGCCGTTCTTTGTTGCCTTTGCAGCCCCGTGATGGAAATCCCAACCCTGAAACCTCTCAGTGAGGACCAGGCTCGTTTCTACTTCCAGGATCTGATCAAGGGCATTGAATACTGTGAGTATCTGTGCAAAAAGAAAGGGATTTCTTGGTTTTATTTTTTTCTAAATGCCCGGGGCTGGACTTCCACCTGGTGTATGGTGCCATTTCCAGTGGCTCATGCTACTGCACAGGGGCTTTTGAAGCTGGGGCAGGTGATGGTTAGCAGAAGGCTTAGAGCTGCATGGGGGCTTTGTGGCTCCTTTGCTGCAGACCGGTACTGCTGCTGATGCTGTTTTTCCTTTGACTGCAGTGCACTATCAAAAGATAATCCACCGGGATATTAAACCTTCCAACCTCCTCGTGGGGGAAGACGGGCATGTCAAAATCGCTGACTTCGGAGTGAGCAACGAGTTCAAGGGAGCTGATGCCCTCTTAACCAACACGGTGGGCACTCCCGCCTTCATGGCACCTGAGACGCTCTCGGAAACCAGGAAAATCTTCTCTGGAAAGGTATTTAGTAGCAATTTTAAGGTTTTTTTGACTAACGTTCCTTGCACACACTGTGTATTGCAGATCTAACTATGCTTTCTCCTCTCCGCAGGCTTTGGACGTCTGGGCCATGGGGATCACACTGTACTGCTTCGTGTTTGGGCAGGTAATGAGATGATTGATTTTTTCAGCACTGTTGGTGGTCGGGGTGTGTGTGGGGGTTTGCCATGTGCTTCCCACATGCCGGGTACACGGTGGGATTTACACCCTGCGCCCCTGTTCGAGCAGTCGGGAATTGCCAAGGGGAGATGGGGATGTGTGGGTGGAAATGGGAAACCTCTGCCGGTCCACGGGATGGGTGCAGCCAAAAGGGCCATGTTTCTTTTTTTCCCCAGGGAAAAAATTCTGTGTCTGGCCAGATTTTTTAGGAGAGGAGCTGTTGTAGTGATGTGGTCATGTTTAGCCAAATGTTATTTTCATTGCCTTTAAAAGAAGACATTGATTTAATAGGAAACCGTTCGGTATTTCCTTATAACTGGCTTCTTGCTCTCCGTCAAACCCTACGAGATCCCAGTGCCTGACTGGCTGCCCCACTGTGGCTTCTTAAAGGAGGTTGTTGCTTTTCTCATTGCGCTTTTTCTTGCGGTAGTGCCCTTTTATGGATGAACGGATCCTGAGTTTACACAATAAAATCAAGACCCAAACGTTGGAGTTCCCAGACCAGTAAGTACCCAAAAACCCAACCCTCAGCCCTTATTTTAAAGCTCTTCTGAGCCATTTCTCAGGCACTGCCTGGCTGGGCCTGGCCCTGCTCCACTGCCGTTCTGCAAAACTGGGGCTCTGAGCCCTTCTGTTGGCCCTCGGCCCTGGAAAACTTCCTTTGGATGAAACATGGAGGCAACATCTCTCGGTTTGCAGTTGCCGAAGAAGGAGCGAGTGAAGTTGCAGAGGCGTTTGAGGGAACGGATTAACCTCCGCAGTTGCTGTCTGTTGGGTTTTAGCCCAAGTGGAGTTGGTGTCGGGCTCTCCCAGCCCTGTACATGTGGAATCACTCTTCGGATTGCCCCAAAAGGGGATATTTTGCTTCTCTGGGGGTAGTTGGGAAGGAAGGGCTGTGTGGCACCTGAGTGTGCATGAGTACCTGGAGCTGCATCCCTGCCAGGGCTGGGGTCCAGCCCCAGTCTGCCTGGGAAGGCCCTCGGCGGCTGGGACCGGGGTGAAGAAGAGAAGCAGCATCCACTCCCTTCCCCATCTCATCTCTCCCCTCTCCTTTCCCCAGGCCAGAAGTTACGGACTTCTTGAAGGATTTGATTACACGGATGCTGGATAAAAATCCCGAATCTAGGATTTCCGTCCCAGAAATCAAGGTACTGACCCAGCCCCCTGGTGTTGGCTGTGGTTTCACTTCTGTTGGGTTCTCCTTGCTCGGCTTTTTTTGGGAGTCAGTTTGATCGCGCCAGGCTAGGTCCTCCCGCTGTGCCCAGGGCCCCTGGGCAGGTAAGTCCCAGCTCCTTCCCCTGCTCCGGGACCTGCTCAGCTTTGGGACCTTTGGTGCCTAGAGAAGTCACAGGCAAAAGGAAATCCCCTGAGTACAGTATTCCCTCTGCTACCAGGAAAGTACTGTGCAACAGCCTTTCGCAGGAGATTTCTGGTCCTCCGCCCCTGTGAGAGCCTGGAAGGGGCGAGAAGCTGAGAAAATGGAGACTAAGGTAGGGGGAAAGGATTGCGGGGGAGAGGATTGCGTGGGAATTGCTGAACCGTTTTGTGCTCCTCCTGCAGCCGCCCAAGATGCCAGGTGTGTGGGCAAGGAGAAAGAGGAGTTTCTGCCTTCTGTTGTGCATTAATTCAGGTCCTAGACCATTAATTCAGGTCCAAGACTAGGACTCGGTGGGTCTCCCCATCACTACTGCTCATACATACAGTCAGGAATAAATCCCTCCTGCCTCTTGGCAGTGTCTTGTCCATAAGACGAGAGTGAAAACAGATCTTCTTCCCTAAAACCCACTGAGATGCACAGTGCTGTAGGTCACCAAGGTTATTGCTTGGTTGTGTAGATGGGGCCAGCGCTGGCTCCAGATGAGCCGCATCATGGCATTTTCTGATCCGGGTTGAGCCATTCCCAGCAGTGCTGGGGTGAGCTGGCTTACTGGAGAGATGGCATGTCTGTCCTCTGCTCCCTGGTATTTCAGGAGCACGTAGGGGCCATAGCTTGGGTGAGGAGATGCGTTTGCCAGGCTGGTGGTGTTTGAGTTACGAAAAAGAGGAAATCGTTCCTGACAGGCTGTGTTATTAATTGAAGTTGCACCCTTGGGTCACCAAGAATGGAGCGGAGCTGCTGCCCACGGAGGATGAGAACTGCACCCTCGTCGAGGTGACAGAGGAGGAGGTGGAGAATTCAGTCAAGCACATCCCCAGCCTGGCCACCGTGGTGAGTACGAGGGAGGTGATGGTCTGCGAACTCACACCAGGGTCCGTGCTGCCTCCCAGGGCTGTCCCGAGCAGCCAGAGCTTGATGCTGAAGGGCAAAAGATTTGGGCAGGATTAGGGCAAAGACCTTCTCTTGGTCGGAAACAAGAGCTGCAAGATGGTATCTCAGCATCTCACTGGATGTGGCCATATCCTGCGGTGCGGGGAAACATTTCAGAGCGGTCCCAAAGGGACCTGTCAGCGGGTTGCCGGTCTCCACACTTGAGCTGGCTGCCTAAATATCGCTGTATTTGCTCAGGGCACAAGAGCATCTGGTCCAGGACCTGCCTGTGGCCAGGAGTGGGTGTTTTGGCCAAGCACAATTAGCTCCTGCCCTGCTCTGCCTGTCTGGCCGTAGGAGCTGTGGGAGCTTCCCAGGATGGAGATTTTATCTGGGCCACGGCGTGCGCCAGCCCCCGCCTGGAGCTATTCTTGGGGAATTCATCTCATCTCTTTTCAAGCTCATATTTTTATTCTCTGCAACCCGCTGTGGTGGTGGTGAGAACCACAGCGTAACCCTGCCCTGTGTGGAAAGTGAAATCCTTTTAGGTTTTGAACCTAATGATTTCTTTGGGTGCCCACTAGCCCTCATGCTAGGAGAAACAGTGAGCAACCATTCGCAGTTCCCTGGCCTGGCATTACCTGCCTGTAGACACCCAGGCTGTGATTTTTTTGAAGTACAGGTCTCCCTCTGAAGCCCCCTTTCCATCTTGTGGCTGTGCCCACCTCTGGCTCCATTTCTGGAGCTCTCTGCTGCTTTCTGTACCCTGCAGAAGTCTCTTCAGCTGCAGATACGTTAATATGCAAATGTGCCTTGCGCTGCTCAAGCTGAAAAAACAAATCTTGCTCTAAGGAAATCACCATTGGCGAGGGGTTTTCCCCCCTTTCTCCTGTTTGGAGCTGACTTGCTGCGCTGCAGGGAGGATGGCTCAGTGCTCCCGGCCCCGTTGAAAATCCAGGTGTGTTTAGCACAGCTCAGGGCAAATGAGTTTTTACTGCGGCTTTTGCCTCTTAAATAACGCACCACCTCCAGGCAGATCTTGTATTTTCCCATTTGCATTTGTTAGTCAAAATTACCCTCTGGTGCCTGATCTTTGTGCATCCAACTGCAGGCGTTAACGCTCGAGTACGAGATTCACGTGGCTTCGACTCTCGCATAAAATGCCTCCCCCCCGCAGGACCCTGCCGACACACGCGTTTCAGACGTGTAAGGGCTCTCGGTGCACTGTGGTGAGCAGATAAATAAGGCACAGAGGGCCGAGAAGCAATACCAAATGAAGCCAGAGGTTCCCAGAGCGGGATGCACATGCCGAGGCAGTGTCCAGTGCTGCTCACGTTGTTCTCTGCTCCCACCAGCAAAATAAATTGGGGGATGCCTGGGAAGAACCCTGACGCTTGCTCTGTTCCCAGCAGTCCCCGATCGCAGCTGACACTGGGTAACTTTGTGTTTTGCAGCCGAAGCTAGGCAAACAGCCCATTTTTCAGCTTGGTTTTAGTAAAAATTAAGGCAAAATTGTGATGGTTCTTTCCTTCCCTTCTCCCTTTCCAATGAATCCTTCTGCCAGGTGCTCGTGGGGAACTGGGAATTTGCAGGTACTGGATGCAGCAATCAGTAAAATCTACTTCTGGGGGGAGAAAATCTTCCCAGACTTGGCTTTGTTCTCCTTTCCAGCCTCTCACACCTCGTGTGGCTCTCACCTGCGTGTTCAGTTGTTGCACCGTGGGTTTTGGATGAGGATACAGCTCCCGTATTAAGCAGCTGGAGACTTGTAAACATGCTTCCTTCTGTGTTCTTTTTTTTCTTTTAAGAAAAAGATAACTTTGATTTGTTTTCAGTAGTTTTCTTAATTACCTGAGCATGAGAGTTGGGTGTTCCTATTGCTCTTGAATGAAAGGAAAGTGGTAGCACCCCTGACGAGCTCCAATCTGGTCTTGCAGATCTTGGTTAAAACGATGATCCGGAAGCGATCCTTTGGGAACCCATTCGAGGGGAGCAGGAGGGAGGAGCGGTCGTTGTCTGCCCCTGGGAACCTGCTGCCGTAAGTGTCATCATGACCCAAAAGGCCATGTCTTGTCTTGTGCTCTGAAAATTGCTGCAAAGCACGGGAGGAGAATTTGAGGAGCTGGGCTTTCAATTTTTCATGTGGGGCCATGACTGGGATGTGTCTGTGGGGACATGTCTGACCCGTATGAGTTTGTGGGATGATTTTTGTGACATCCTGCCCCTCTGATGGGCTGAACAGCATCTTTATATGGCACTTCCAGCCTGTTATAGGGAAGCTGGGGGGAAACAACATGTGCGCAGGGTCCCAAAGGTCCCATTGTGGGGAAGGGGCAGATGCTGGTGTCTCATTGTCTGCTTTGCCTTTTTCTGAGTCGCTCAGCAACTGTTTTATTTCCTTTTAAAACAGGAAACAAGGCAGCGAAGATAATCTGAAATGCAACGACTTGCCCAACGTGGGAGAGGAGGAACTTCTTTCGTGAACATCGACTTTACGGTTCTGTTCAGCAACTTGGTCTGGGGCACGTTATGAAAGCGTGCAGCTGAGGATGAGTGACATTAACAGAGCCTACACCAAACACAGCATGACATGGCGCTATTTCAGTATAATGCTGGATGTAGAGCTTACATAGCAGCATGTTATAAGACATCCGACTACTTGTCATAAACATTGAACATCTCCGATCGCTTGGACTGCAGACTTCTTGTGGGAAAGGTGCTGGCTGACAGCAGAGAGGTGAGCTGTCGTGTTGAGGAGCAACAGTGCTTTGCAAAAAAAAAAAAAAAAAAAAAAAAAGCAGTCAAACAAAAATGCATTTGGAACTGCTTTTACCTGGTTTTAATGCCAAATAATTTCCGGGGACTAACGCCAGCGTCCCAGGGGTGTTGTACGCCCGTCACATAGTTGGTGGGCACACACAGAAGGGTGAAGCTTTTGCCAAGTGGCAAACACAACAGCCGAAACTACACGTGCGCACTTTGAGAGTCCATGACCTACCGGAAATGTTGTTGCATCTATTTCTCGTCGTTCTGGTTTGTTTTTAATTGACACCTTTTTAACTGCATGGGAAAAAAGCAAAAACCCACCTTTTCAGCTTTTAAAGAATGCCTGCCTTTGTGAGCCAAGTTGTATTAAACAGCATCTTCGGGGTGTTCAGAAAGTGAGGTTAATTGCCTCCTAAGGTAATTAACACCTTTCCTAAGGTCTTGGTGTGGCTGGGACTTGGTAAGTCGAGTATTCAGTGTATGAAAGGAAAAGGTATTTAAGGGCTTAAGTTCAGTCTGAACTATTTTTGCTGCAGACATACGAGTGAGAGGTGGTGTTTAGCTGAATGTTTGCTTTGAACAGCAGAGGAAGCACTAACAACAGTTTGTTTCTAAACCTTTTACTTGATCTAGGTAGATATATTATTAAATATAAAATTCAGGGTAAAATCCTTCACTTCCATGTACATTACATGGTTTACTACAATTAAAAATAATACAACTTATGCTATTTTTTAAGTATAGACTTAGGGCTTGCTTAGAATTCAAGATCTTAATGAAATATTTAGATTAGCTAGTAATTTTCAAAGAAACTTTTGTTTTCCAAACTATTAATCTGGATTTGGGGGCCAATGCTATGTATTTTTTGCAAGTTCGTTACCAGTAATTTGTGAATGCCTGTGGATCAGAGGCTTGTTAGTAAATTAAGTGTATACCTAATTCACGGATTGTTTCTTATGAAGAGCTCTTTCACCTCCAGTCAGATTACTCTGATTATTTTGTGGTGCTTGTAAAAAAATAATAATCTATTGTGTGGCGGGAGAGACTCTGGCCTCCAGACTCACTTTCCCAATTTCTCTGTGCTTGGACAAAGCTGGAGAAGGGCAGAGTGAGGGTAAGCTGGAGAAGAGTCAGGGTTTGCTTGAGGAAAGGGGTAAGTACAGTTGTTTTGTGGACAGAGCATGGGAAGGGGAGGGAAAAGGTCTGACCTCACCTCTTCTCAGCCTGATGTGGTTGTGTGGCCTTGAGCAAGGCATTTAAAATGATGGTGTACCCAAAAGAGGGGGAGGATTCGAACGTCCCAAGCATGTAAGGGACTGCTAAGGCGTAATTCTTCGCCCTGAGGAAGAAGGCACTAGGAGAGATCCAAGTATTTTGGTTAATGGTAAGATCTCTGCCTGCTACCCCTGGCCAGGGGCGCCCTGCCCTTAGGAAGTGGCTGTCCCCATGTCTTCCTTGATCTTGGGCACCGCAAGCAGCAGTGTGCCAAGGTCTTTGGCCCTGCTGCAGTCAGACCTGGCCCAGGAACTCTTGGTTAGGACGGGTCTCTGTTAAAGCCGGCGTATCATTAGCAAGTGCGCAGGTGCCTACGCAAACTATCCCTTTACATCTTTTGATCACTTGAAGCAATGCTCCCCCTAAATCGCAATTTATTACCAAAACATTGTGCTGCTGGCCTCTCTCCAAAGCCAGCGATGGTGGTTCATGGTTTCGGAGCAGTACTACGGAGTTTGGAGCCATAAGACACGCACTGTTTCCCTCCTGTTTTAGTCTGAGGCTATGCCAAAGCCCTGCAGCATCAGCTATGGGAAAACCAAACAGGTAACAGGTGCCAGCACTACTACAGATGCCCATTCCCCCTTTCCTAAATGGGACTTGTCATTGCGGGAACGCGGGCGAGTGGGCAGCTTGGTTCTCTAACCTTGTAAATGGACTTGTTCTGCCAAAAAAGAAAAAAAAAAAAAAAACCAAACCGAGGGGGATCTGATTATTTATAGCTGTTGCGTAGTAATGTGTGTGGTGTGTTTCGTTACAGGTGAGGTGTAGAGATGCTCTGTGCTGCGTATCTGCAGGATGTGATGTGTCAGGTGCCTAGCGAGACAGTTTACATTTACCAAACGGGCTTGCCAGGCGCAACACAGCTTCTAAGCAGAATAAGCTGTACCCGTTGCTCCATGCCCAGCCACAGAGTTACTGGGCCTCAGATAGTACCATAGATCAGTGTTTTTCGGCTAGCACGGGCTTGGTTCGTAAGGAGCCATAAGCTCAGCACTTCCCTGAGGCGCTCTCCGAAACCATTGTCTTAGCGCCAGCTCCGGTAGGGCTGCAGCCAAACGCACACGTCCGAAAGAAACTCGATGTAGATTTCTGTTCTTGTTGAGTAGTTCTGTTGAAAGCATAAAGCTTGGCTGTGTGAGGAAGAGCTAGCAAAATGCATGAGCTGTTAGAGAAGCTGTACTGTATATATAAAAACCTGCTCAGTTCCCTAGCTGCTGTCCCTTAGTAGTGAAGCTGGCTTTTTTTCTTAGAGTGAGGTAAACATTTTGCTTGTGCCTTGGAACTGGGCTGTAGCTTGATTTTCCCCAACTCCCTTCCTTTCAAGCAAGCCCAGTGCTGACTAGGCTTAATGCTGGGTACTAAGCCTTTTTGGCTCTGAAAGCACACAGGAAAGTGCTAAGGGGAAACCAGGCCTCTTGTCTCAAGTAGTTTTTCTTGGTGGTCCCCTCTTACCCATCAGGCAATTGATCTGTTTCTTTTCTAAGGTCCTGAACTATTGCTGATTTTTATACTGTTTGTTTAACGACCGAGGCTTGTGTTTCATTCCCACCCCTTTATTATGCATTTAACTTTATCAGGTGTATCGAGTTTAAATACTGTGTATTTACCACTTTTAAATTATATTACCTAAGAAGAAAAAAAAAAAAAAAAACTAAGTGTTTTTCCACACAGCTGTTCAAGCTTCTCTGTACAAGTTGAAATAAATGACATGCAACTAAACCCAGAGTTAGTTGATCAAGTGGAACCATTATCCTGTTTGACTGGTCTTTATAGAGCTATAAGAGTTTTCCTGTTGGAAGAGGAGTCTGAAAGCACCTTCCTCTGTCAGTGAAGTCTGGTGCTCTGCCGTTACTGAGGACCTTGGGCTAGGATGAGACCACAGCAGCTCTAGCCACTGCATCATCCAACCTGGGCCACTCACATGCACAGACTGGAGCGCTGACTCTTGGAAACGCACCGTTTGAGTTGGGGCGCTCAGCTTAGTGCTCAACAGCCGCAGCAGGCAAATAAAGAATAAAACAAAACAATAATGCTGTAGCAAACCCACTGCGCAGAAGTGGAAGGTGGCAGCAAAGGATACTGGTGGTATGGAAGAGGTCCCAGGGCTCTGTAACACTAGAAAAGGTTCAGAGAAAGGGAAGAGCTGGATTTTCTGTGTCAGTGTGATCCCTAGAGACGCTCAAGGCCACATGAAGATAAAAGCCAACAAATTCACTTAAATCATATTGTCTAAACCCATTAAATGCAGCAGCCCAGATAGAGGTCTGGGGGTGGTGGTGAAAAATCTTCCAGGGAATAATAGCTATGTTCTCCTGAGCACTTGGTTACTAGCGTTTGATGCCAGGCCAACCCACCCTGGCCTCTAGCTTTCAAGTCTTTTCCCTTGAAGAGGGTTTTAATGCAACAGACACAGACAAGGTGTTAGGAGAACCAAGGTGTAGCAGAAGCTGTAGTTGCAGCAGCACTCTTGCTGAGAGAAGCAAGAGACAAAGCAGACAGCAGCACCGGCTTTGACAGCTCTCCAGTAAAACGAAGACGGTTCACTGACCCTAACCTTCACAGGCCCTGGGGAAAAATAAACCAGCAAAACCCAGCTTGCAGGACTCCAAGAGAACTAAGAGAGAGTAATATTTTATTTATTAAAAAGAACATAAATTTTAAAGTAGTACCATAAAAATTAGACAAAACAGAAAAAAAAAAATCTATAACCAGTAAGCCATTTACCATAGCACAATGGAACTAGACACTGCTTTGTCTCAGACTGCGGCCACTGGAGCTTGGAGACACGATTAAATAGCAGGCACAGGCTCAGCTAAGCATCACAATCCTTAAGGGCACAGAAAAGTGATTTAACAACAGCAAGGAGCTGTTCTCCCAAGGTTAGGCAACACCTGGCAGGGGCCATGTTCACTGCAAAGAAGAATCTGTGCCTGTTACCCTGTGCTCTCTGCTACCTGTGAGCTCAGGGAAAGGAGGACTGTCAAAACGACAATGTTGGAGCAGCCCCTGTCCCAGGCTTATCCAGTGCAGAGGCCTGGAATAAAAGCATAATTCTCCCTGTGTGCTTAGTGCAATTTATCTGGAAGACCAGCAGACAAGGAGCAGACCTGGTTCTTCTCTCTGGGGTTGGCTCCAGCCAGCAACAGTAATGAACAGTAGTGAAGAAGGTCCCTTTCTCAGGTTTGTTCCCCCCTTCTTTCCAATGAAGAGGGTGTGGGTCTCACAGCAGGGTCAGAGTAACATTCACAGCAGCAGTTCACAGCAGCAGTTGGGTGCTGTAGCAGCAGGAGGTCAGGAGTTTGTTCCGTATGTCTCATCGACTCCCTGCAAGGATCAGAGATCACAGTTCTCTGCCAGAAAACTCTTCTTTCTCCCCTTCCTCTCACACAAAACCCCCTGCACAGGCAAACTACTCTCCTCTACTCGGACTTTACATTTC